ATCATCATCATCATCATCATCATCATCATCATCATCATCATCATCACACACACACACACATTACTGTAATACTGAGAAACACTCTCCTGCTTCTTCACCAAGCCACTGTAAGGGTAAAATATTATTTGAATGACAGAATATGAATGATTATTTACAATACAAAATAGACAACTAACAATTCCCTCCGGCTTCACACTGCCATTATTCTCTTGATGTTAACCTTTGATAGCCCGATCAGTAAGAGCTTGCCTCCATTTGTGGAAGAAGCTTAGGTCCATGCCCTGGTGAGCTTCCTAGGAAGATGTTCTATCATGTCTCTTGGAGGGCATCGCACACCACCTTATGCAAACACTGTCTCCCTTGGGTGGCATGCCAGAAGGATCCTCCTGGCTTCAAGCAGCGACGGAGGCAAGCCGTGCTATTTATGTGTACACCCACAGTACCTGAGCACCTGTGAGAGTGGCCATGTCGAGAATGATGTCAGCGCCAAGGTCTTTGCAAGCGTAGGAGACTCCGTCCGCAAGCACCAGCCGCCCCTCAGCATCAGTATTGTTGATTTCCACAGTTCTTGGAAAAGAGGGAAAAGGGGGTAGTGGTTCATTTATACACAACCACATCCCATTTCAGCATAACTTTCCTACACTGGTTTGATATGCTTCCTTTCTCAAGGTAAGCAATGTTTTCCTATAGCAGCTACAGAATATTTATTGATGAGATTTAGAGATCGCCCAGCCTGAACATTACTCTGGGCAGCTTACATTAAAAATAGAAAAGTAGTTAAAAAACAAGTAAAAAAAGAAAATCCCACACACCTGGACAAAGACATTCCCTCAGACAAAAAACATCACCAAGAGAGCTCTGCAAACACCCGACCCCAAAGCCTGGGAGAACGGCCAAGGTGTTAAAGACTTCCAGAACATCATCCGGGTGGATCTCTGGGTGATTTTGTTCTAGAAGGCTGGCACCACCACTGAGAAACATTGATGGCACTCTGCGATCGAAGGGACCAAAAGCGCATGGGTTCCTTCAGTTGTTTGTCCAAGTGGAAGCCAACCAGGAAAGGGAATTTTAAAGGTGAATGTGGAAAAGAGATTCCTAATCCCTCTAGGGCTGCCACTTTTGTGTAGTGGTTAAGGCCATAGGCTAGAAACCAGGAGACCGTGAGTTTTAGCCCTGCCTTAGGCACAGAACCAGCTGGGTCACCTTGGGCCAGTCATTCTCTCTCAGACATAAGAAGAAGGAAGGATAAACCATTTCTGAAATGTTGCTGAGAAAAGTGTGGGGACTTCTCCAGGCAATCACCAGGACTCAATATTGACTCAAAGGCATTTTTTAAAAAAATCCCTCTAGGTCAGTGTCTCTCAACGTTAGCAACTTTAAGATGTGTGGACTTCAACTCCCAGAATTCCCCAGCCAGCCATGCTGGCTGGGGAATTCTGGGAGTTGAAGTCCATACATCTTAAAGTTGCTAACGTTGAGAGACACTGACCTAGAGTTCTAGAATACACATGGGAGATTTGAAAACATGCGGAATACTCTATCAGTGAAATCTACTCTCATGCATTTGCACAGTGTTACGTGTGCAACCCAGAACCTTCACATTTGAGAGCAGCTTTCTAAAGATATCTAACTTGACACCCAAACTCACATTGCTGAAGGCTACAGATGAAAAAGGCCTCCAGGAATGTTTCTCCCTACATGTGAGTTGCATGACCACCTCTAGAGGTACAAAGGGAACGTGCAAATATATCATGATTCTATCATTTTCTGTGATAGAAAGAACTGCAAAAAGTCCAAGAGCCAGTGGAAGTGTTACAGTTTGCTCTGTAATCATGAGATCACATATTCAAGGTTAGCCTGCCTTGCTTATGCGTTCAAAAATTATGCTATATAAAATGATTGTTCATGCTTTATTTTAGGCTTATATATATATATAAATAAAAATACAAATTCCAGGCCAGATAGTTTAACGGCATGTCATACAAAATATATTATAAAACCGTCCACATATTTTAATAATTTACACTACTTTTATTAATCCATTGAAGCCATTTTACTTTGATCCAATTTACAGATTTCTCTTATTTTGCCCAATTTATTCTATAGTTGTTGGTATTTGGCATAATATTCAGTTATGCTCCTGGGCAGGGCACAGCAGGGCAGATCTTGCTACCCTATTTTTGACTGCTCAATAAATCTGATTAACCCTTCAGAAACAGAGATTTCAACAGGCATTTCCCACACCCTTTCAAACATATCCTATTAATCCTAAGAGCTAAAAAGTTGGTTTTCTTCTCATAATTTGAATCCTGAGCAAAATAACCACTTTCTTTACATTGCAAACATGTCACACATATGTATGCTCCCTCCATTAAATGTTTTCAGGGCCGAAATCTGCTGTTTTAGCAGTACTTAATCTGTGGATGGACTCAGTTACAGCAGCAATGGGTGCTCTGCTGGAAGACATGAAGGACGAGGTTGGGGATCGTCCTGGAGAAAATCTATCTATGTGGTCTTTAAGAGTCAACACTGACTTGATGGCATATAATCAACCACAAGAAGAAAAACTGTCTTCCTCCCTCCCTCCCTCCCTCCATCTTGCCTTTCAACCCTGAGTGAGTTCTGAAGGCACCTAACAAAATTAAAACATCACAAAATGAAAAATAAAAAGCAGGTGGAAAATTTGTTTAATAAAGCAGCAGCGATGATGAGTGGATTAAACTTACTTTCCCGAGTAAAGAATATGAATATCATCAGGTCTTGTTGCATTTGGTCCAACAGAATTCTCAGCCAAGCAAAACACTGCATGAAGATTGTCTTTAAAGCCCTGTTACAGGAAAAAAGGAGAGGCATCAACTGATGGGTGAATGAGTTTAACCAGCACATCTCTTTAGGAGACACAGGTCCCTCTCTTGGGGTTTCCATTCTTCATTTTTTCTCCTTTTAGAATTTGTTGTTTATTCTCTTCACATCAGTCTTCGGGAATGGAAGGCATACAGATGAAATAAATAAATAAATAAATAAATAAATGCAAAGTTTCCATGCAGCACAACCAAACTCCAGATATAGGTGCATTTTACAAGTATCCCTGGCTCAAGTCACGTAAAAGTGCTAGGTAGTGCCTTACACACACACACACCTTCCTCCAACATACATACAGTGGAACCTCAGGTTACGAACGCTTCTGTTAATGAACTTTTCGGGTTACGACCAGCCCCAGCCGCAAAATTTTGCTTCGGTTTGCGAACTCCGCCTCGGGGTACGAACAGGATACGCGGCCATTTTCCCTCCCGTGACACGGTCCACGGCCATTTTCCGCCCGACATGTGGTCATGGCCATTTTTCCGCCCGACATGTAGTCCACGGCCATTTTCCGCCCGACACGTGGTCCGCGGCCATTTTTCCGCCCGACACGTGGTCCGCGGCCATTTTTCCGCCCCTGAAATGTGGTCCGCGGCCATTTTTCCGCCTGATACGTGGTCCGTGGCCATTTTCCGCCCGACACGTGGTCGTAGGGAGGGGGACTAGCAATAGCCGCCTCCCAGTCCTCCACGCCAGAATGGATTAACAATACTTACATTGAACTTTATGGGAAAATTTGCTTCGGGTTGCGACCAATTTGAGTCGCGACCAGAGTCATGGAATGAATTAAGTTCGTAAACCGAGGTTCCACTGTATTTAAATGCTATTATTTTTTAATCATACAGGCAGGATTAAAAACATAGGCATAGGCAAGATTAACATATTACCAAAACAACACTAGAAATTATCCAAAACTTAAATATAGAAGAGTTTATATAAGGAAAGTTAAAACTGAACTATTAACAGAAGGGTCCTGTTTAAAAAAGGTAACAGCTGAATCTATTGAATTTGGTTAACTTGAAACAGTCTCTTTGTCTTCTTCCTTTTTAAATGTAATGTTAAAAAACTAAAAGCATGCCTCTTGTGTTTTTATTTAGCTTGATTTGGAGAGATATGAATAGTTATCCTTTACTTGCGAAGGTTCACTCAGGGCTGCAAACAAAGCTTTTGATACAGCTCCTTCCTTCTAAAAGAGATGCTGTTTAAAGCAATTGCCCAGGGAAATGCTAATTTAACATTTAAGTTATCTTCTGACCAATTTTCTTGGCTGGCCTATTAAATCACTGCAGAGAATGCTTTTAGAGATCTGTATCTGCAGGCAGTTAGGGCAGGGGACAAAATGCATCAGAGCTGCCAGCAAGATTCACAGCAATAGGATTTACTGTGGGAGTGGATTTTTTGGTTTGGTTTTTTTTTAGTTGAAAAGACACTGATCCATTTGTCCCAGTATTCCAGTGCTTGAGTTTTCACTGTCTCCATCCAGCCTCCACATCTGGGTGAAAAGTAAAGATCATGTAACATTACATTTTATGCAATGACCATTCTGAATCTGAATTTTTTCCTATTCAATCAAGTACGACTCCAATTATTAGTATTCAGCTCAGTATCCAGTCTGTGCTAGTACTTGGGTTGAATTAGTTGATATAGAAATACTGAATCTAGCCCCATTTGGGGAACATTCAAAGAAAAAGCTTTAATGTGTAGAGGAAAAACAACAACAATGAAATGAGAGCAACTGGCAATAAAATGTTATGCAACTTTAAAATTGTCAAACTTGCCCAAGCGGAAAATATTCTGGCCCACAACTTTGTGACCTGGTTGGTTTTAGAAACATGGCATTTATTTCTGAAGTCAACATTTGTACAGAAATTCCAGGAACGTCAAATTTAGCAAGGTGAGAAGAACAACCCCACTTTCATTCATTCCTAAGCTGCGGTAGAATGAAGTAGGTAGCAAATGGCATGATGTGGAAGAGAAGGAGCTTAGTAGTAAAGCATGTGCTTGTTGAAGTCCCAAGTTCAATCCCTGGGATTTCTATGTAGGGTTGGGAAAAACTAAATCCGACAGCATCGCTCCTGCCAACAGACAGGCAAGATGAAGCTGGATGCACTTATGGGCTTCCCCATAAAGAAGGTAAATCAAGTGAGATCAAGAGAAGGGAGCGGCTGGTACCTTCCTCCCACACATTGTTCCCAGGGGTTTCCCAGCACAGCCAGAAGTCAACAGAGTGATTTGCTGAGTCTGATCTCAACCAACGAGCACACAGACAAGCTGAGAACACAGTGACAATGAAAATGGGCCGCTCGGAGTCTTGAACATGCCTCTATTTGCGTTCTATGCAAAATGGAGGCCGAGAGCAAAGGTTCGTCTTAATAAAAGGACCAAAATAATGAGTAAACCATACTGGCCCATCTACTCAGATAGGATATCCTTTCTCAGCACTTCAAATATGCTTTTCAGTTCATGCTTCTGTTTAGAGTTGGGTAACCGCATCACACAAGACTGGTCATTCTCAGAGCTCAACTGGAAGTGCCAGGCTGCAGATGAGGAAGTTTTCATTTTTAGGGGGAAAAAAATGTTTAGGGTTTCTCTGTCGCAGGATTGATGTTTTGAAATGTACTACCTCGGAAGATCTGTTTTTCTTGCTTTACAGACTTACTGATTGTCAAGTATGCAGTTTCATTCATGATTGAATAGATGCTGCCCATTTGATCATATTACTTTAATTACTGTACTACAGTCATCTGGCTGAATGTGTGCATATACCGTATGTGTATAAATGTTTTACTGATTGACATCCCATCTGACTTTTTAATCTGGCTTTCTTTGTAAGTTGTTCTAGATGCCTCATATTAAAACAAAATTTTAAAAAAAGAAAAAAACATGTTTACAACCTGTATGATTTTAATAAAATCAAGTAAAACATGTTTGTACAGCACAGGTGTGCAGAACTTTTCAAATTCTATGCAGATTGCTCCAATGGTGTCCCAACTTTATCACAAGAATTTCAAGTTTATGTTGAAAGATATCCTAGGCTGGAACACTTCTTGCAAAGTTGGAATGGTTTATTTAGAACTGTGTGTGTATGGGTCCATGACTTGAATGCGACTTGGAGAATTACGTGTATGCCTCCATATACACGGGTCTTGGGTACCCATGTTCCTTTTATCAAAAGCAATTTCTTTACAATCTGATGAAAAGAACAGTAAGAGTAGAACCATGGAAGCCTGAAGTCTGGTAAGATTCATAGAAAGTATATAAGATATTCATATTCAAAAAGATAATCTCACTATCACCAGATGGTTAACACCAAGACGGTTTATACCAACCATCTTCAGTGATGTGCAGAATTTCACTTACTTGTTTCACAGTGGCCTTGAAGGCACCCAAAATAGCAGCAGCTCCACCACAATCTCGTTTCATCCCAGGCATTGTTGTCTAGCAAATAAAAGCGGGAATACAAGCATTTATCTCAAAGGCACTGGGGCAAAGTATTCCTGGTTAAACTGCATGTGGTTCTCAAAAGTGAAGTGCAACAGGTTCAGTGAGACTTCCTCCAACTCAAGGTAGCTGATGTGATCTATGGACTGCATTCCCATCCCTTCATTCCGTGTTTATCCTTGCCTCTCCTGCCCTGTCAAATTTAGTTTGAAGTGGCAAAGGGATGTATAAAACCTAATTTGTGATGTTGCTGTGGTATAATTAACTAATATCACTTAGTCATCAGTTATGCATTCAGTTTAGATGTTGAGGCATAGATGTGAGTAGGGGAAAGAAGAACATTACTTTGAGTCCATTTAACCCATGGATATTAGAGTGACTTGCCAGGTCCCCCCATCAAAAGACTCCATACCTTTCCTTTGATGCTGAGTCCTCCAGTGTCATAGACAATGCCCTTTCCAACCCAGGCAATAGTCTGTGTGGCACCTTCTGGGGTATGACTGAGCACAGCTAGAGCAGGTGGGTGAATGGCTGCTTTCCCAACCCCATAGATGCCTGGAGATGAAGGACAGGACTGAGAAATTCATTTTGCCATGGAGGTTGAAATAATTATTTCAGGGAACCCATAAGCAATTTCTTAATTCTTCAACCCAGAGCTCTTAATTTTTACCCTCCTAGCTGAACTATTTTCTGAGATTTAGGTTCACAAAAATGAACTGTGCTCAAACAGAAGAAAAATCTAACTGTTCTACCACTTTTTTCTTATGGTGGCCAACCACACATCTTTTCAAAATCCCAAGCAAGTCACAAACACCAGTAGATAGCTTAATTATCACAATTAATAGCCAGTGACCACCTCATGCTCTTTAACCCAATCATTGTTCTTCCCCAATATTTACAGATACAGGTAGTCTTCTTTGGCAACTGCCTTCATTTTCCAACCAATGTGCATATTTAGGACAACAAAAGCCTTCAGTGTGAAACTGATTAAGGTCTGGTCAGTTTCAGGCAGCAGTAGAAGGGGTCTACTCAACTAATTAAGGTCACAGAGCTGAGTCTGTTAAATTTCAGTTAGGCAGAAATAGCTTGTTTAAGCAATCTCCTCTCTGCCCTGCAAGGGGTCAAAAAAAGGGGAAAAAATGGGTTGGGCACAGGATAATGTATGAGAGAACTTTATCTGAATGAGTCAGCAGCAACCAGCAATCTTTGCATCTCTCTTTCTGTCAGTCACGTGGTTCACTTCACAACCTTTAGCTGGAACCAGTTTCAGTCACTAAACAAGGACTACCTGTATTTTAAACATGATATCCAGATATCCCCCTGTCCCCACAGGATGCAAACTTACAGAATTATCTTGCTTCTAGGTTGTTCTAGATGGGAGATAGGGAGAGCAGCTTCTAAAATACATGGTAGGATCTCAAAGAGCTGTGCAAAGTCCATAACATCTTCTGAGGTCCTCCCATGCTCTTCACTTTCCTATTTCTAAAAGCTGTTCTACAAGCCTTAAATTTCTGAAAATCATCTGACAAAGTTTAAGGACTGTGTCTGGAACAATGACCAGTGAAACCTTATTATTTTTGCAGGACCAAAATCATTAGAGGATTTTGAAGAAGCAGGATGAAAAGAGTATTGATGCTTTTGAAATTTTGTGTTGAAGACTCTTGAAAATACCGTGATAGTCAAGAAAACAAACCAATGGATCATCGAACAAATCAATCCAGAGTTCTCACTTGAGGAACAAATGACCAGGTTTAAGTTATCCTATTTTGGACACATTATGCAAACATCTAGCTCTCTTGAGAAATCTATAATGCTGGGAAAGGAAAGAAAAAAAGATAACAACCATCAGCAAGGTTGATGAACCTAGTTGCAGCATTGATGGGTGCCACTGGAAGACCTGAAGGGCCAGGCTGGAGACAGATGATCAAGGAGAAGGTCTGTCTATGTGATCACTAGATAGACTGACTTGATGTTGCATAATCAATCAATCAATCAATCAATCAATCAATCAATCAATCACTTAAATCAACAATGAGGAAGGGGTTAAAATCATAGATGCCAGCCATCCCTAATCTGGTGTCCTCCAAATATGCTAGACTACAGCTCCCATCCAGCACAGCAAACTCTTAAGAGCTCTGGTCCTATCTGGGAAAGGCTGAGTTAAGAAACAGTTCTCTAGGATGTATGAGAGGAGAAAGAAAGAAAAATAAATCTTTTTGCTTTGACTGACCTCCAAATCCTTTCTCCTTCAGTTCTTCATTTTGAAAAATAGTTGGAACAATCCCCAGATCCTTTCCCACTTTTCTGATTTCCTTCCAAAAAAGTAAAAGGCATCATCTGATCATCAAATGACCAATAACTTTTAGTTCAATGTTTAAAAACAAAAGCCACACTGTAAAGCCACACATTTAAGATGTGTCATTGCAACTGTGGTCCTACACATCCAACTCCCCTGGGCTCATCATTACAGGGTTTCTTCTGAGAGAAGCTTTTTCCTTCAGTTATTCTACCTCATTTATTGGCTACTCCCAGGATTTCAGCTCTTAGATGTCATTTCTTTGCAAAGCCAAGAACTTGTGAGTTGCTGCTGATCTGTTTTTACTTGCAGGTGGGGACCATTTCAGCCTTTCCATTGTGGTCACCACCCTCTCACTCTTCCAAGAGGAAAAGTGAGCAATCAGCTGGCAGCAGAAGTTCCTAGAGTGCTTTGACATGACAAGTCCAAATCAGCAGCCTCCTTTCTATTATTTTTTGCCCCAAAGCAAAAAAAAAAGCAAGGTTTTCTCTCTGACTTGACGAAATCGTCCTGTGTAGCTATGCCAGCACCCCTCCTGATCCAGGAAACATTTAGTTGAGCCAGCAGAATAAGATGTGGTAAGGATTCCTGGCTCTGTACTAAACAAACTTGAGGAGAGAGACCTTGGCAAGGGCGACTCCTTGTCCACCAAGGCCAGTTAAAAATGGTGAACTTTTAGGCCAATAATACTGTTTCAATTTTGCAGTGCTGAGCTGCCATGAGAACAACAATGTGCTGAAGGACACACATTGATTCATTAAAAAAAAATAATAAGCCTACTAACGTTACAGATATGTATTTTTCATACTAAAAATGTGGAGGTACATAGGCGAAATGTAAGAAGTCATAACAGGTCATAACAGCAAGGACTGCCCAAGTGCAATGAAATTATAATTTCTACATGCTGGATTCTACAGTGTTTTTCCAACTCTACTGTGGAGAACCTTTGGTGGGGAAGCTGCCTTGGAAGAAAAATGGCTATCATTCCTGCTCTGATTTTAAGAGAAGGGAGTATGGAAGAATCTCTGATCTCCTTGAGTGATTAAGAGTGGCGGAATTATAAACTATCAACCCAAAGCAACCTGGAATTTCAACAGTAGGTTCTACTATGAAACAATGAGGCAACCTCCTGAGTTATTTATTTTAGAACTTAGGAAAGGGCAAGTAAATAAATATTGTGGTTAATTTTCTACCACTGGGGAAAAAAGGACACCCCCCAAAACCTCAATCAGTTCTGCTGGCTGGACATTTATTCATTATTTATTAGAAGTGTTTTATGTTGCTTCAAATGTTTCATCTCTAAGCTTCTCACAAGCAGCAAAATACAATATTAATAAGTGTAATCCTCACAAATCAAATCAAAGGTATCAAAAATACTGTAATGGAATTCAGGCATAATAATTCAAATCCTATAATCAAAAAACATATCCCCACCTACTCCAACTATTCACACCTCAATACACACTGAAGAAGGTATGGTTTCAAATGACATCTGACTCTCAGGGCCCTGATCCTGTATCTGCTGGGAGAGTGGTGCTCGCTGGGCCTTCTTGGACCTGTAGCCCCAGCACACCTAGAACACGTCAGGCTAAGAAAGACTAATTTGATCCTTCAGACTTATGAGACTCTGCTTGCAACTGTGGATTATTTCTGGATCAAATGATAAGCAAAGGCAATCACCTTTTTGAGCAATCCTTGGAAAAAATACCCACAAAGTTTTGCTAGAAACAAAAATGAATCCTAGATAGGATTTTCAAAATTCACTGGAAAAACACCTATGTTAAAAGGCATCACCAACCTCCAGGAAACTGTCAGTGTTCATTTCGTTGCAAGGGGTGTCAACGATTCGAGCTGCCAGTCTAACCCCTTCTGTAGCACTTTCCAGACACTAAAAGATAAAGAATTTCTGTGTTTGTGGGGTTTTGTTTCATCCAAACAATGTATTTATATTGTCCACAGACTTTTAAAGTATCATGGTTATTCAAGCTTCATGAATGCCAGAGATTACTAAGAAGGATTTGGGGCTAGCAAATTTTAACCTAGCAGGGTTTGTAGATCTAAGACTTAATAATGAAGACTTAATAATAATGTAAATCTTAATAATAAGATTAGGCCTCTCAGAGAGGCTGGCAGCATGATGCCTCTATGCCTATATTAAAACCAGTCTTTAGTTTTCTTTAGCAGCACAGAAATGATCAGACATTGCCTTCTTCCAGGACATGTGCTGACTTCCTGGTCTAGCTAAAGACCTGTGGCTTTCTTGCGGTCTCCCATCCTTGTATGAATTACGCCTGAACATTCAACATTTGGCCAGGTTCTGTCATCCTGTGTATATGCTTAGAAAGGAATGATAAAAAACACAGTACCCCCCACCACTCTGGCCACCAAACAAGTGTTACAATTGTGATAACAACACTAAGAATCACTTAAGGTGCGAAGAAATACTCAATACATTGGCCTTTATTTTGTACTAACTTCATGGGGACTCCATCAAAGAAATCTGCCAAGGGCCCAAAAGGAATCTTTCAAATGATCCCCAATCAGAAAAAATATTTATGTTCAATTCAATCACAGCCTTTCCCAACCAGATTCTCTCCAGATGTGATCCATAACTCTCATTCACTATGACCAAAGATTGGGAATAATGAGCCTTGTAGTTCAACGGACCTGCAGGGTACCAGTTCGGGAAGGGCTAGTTTCTAGGTGTAGGATGTTATATTTGAATAAGCTTGTTGATAGTCATTGTAATCACTGATATATTTGATAGTCTTTGTGCACATTTTAATTTCATTGTTCATTTTAAGTAGGTTGGATTAGTGGAGGGGAGTGGCACATTGTAAAGGTGGTCCTCATTTAATGATCACTTGTTCATTGACCATTCAAACCTGCTACGATGCTGAATGAGTGGTAGTTACGACCGGTCCTCAAAGTTCCAACTATCGCAGTGCCCCCGTGGTCATGGGATCGCAATCTGGGTGCTCAGCAACTGGCTTGGATTTCTGAACATTGCAGCATCTGGTGGTCACATGATCACGATTTGCGATCTTCCCTGCCCACTTCTCACAAGCAAAGTCAATGAGGAAGCCAGCTGGAAGTCACGGTCACATGAGGTTTTCACTTAACAACCTGCAGTGATTTGCTTAACAACGGTAACAGGTGACTACCAGAACTGCTGTCACTAAGCAGCGCAGTCATGTGACATCACACTTTACAACTGCATTGCTTAGTGATGGAAATCCCGGTTCCAATTACCATTGTTAAGTGAGGACTACCTGTAAATAATTTGTTTTGTTTGTAATCTGAAGCATTCTCTAGAAAACATAGACTTACTTTCAACATCTCGACCTCCACCGGGCCATTGTTCTGCCCAATTAGGAAAAACTCCACAACTACGGTCTTCTTCTCCGTACGCCTAGATGAACTGGAGCGATGGGTGAAGAGTGGGAAGGCCCGAGCTATGGCACAAGCTGAAGCAAAGACCTCTGAGCGCTCACACACCATCTGAAACAGATAACCAACAGTGATGTTTTTTAAAAAGCACGTTGCACAAGTTTGAGGTAGGAAAGGAAACCATGTTTACTGAGATAAAAGGGGTTTAATCCAGGGTTTTTCAAACTTCTTCCCTGGAGCCCCTGGATCCCACAAGAACCTGGTGAGGTTCCATGAGAGATGAAGAGAAAAACCAAGACACGCAGCTGGTTTTCTATCAGTAGAGCAGTGTTTTTTTTAACCTGGGTAGCTTTAAGATGTATGGACTTCAGCTCCCAGAATTCAACTCTCTCAGCAATGGCTGGCTAAGAATTCCTGAAGTCGAAGTCCACACATCTTAAAGTTGCCCAGGTTGAAAAACTCTGCACTGCAGCTTTGTCTTTTGCTTAGGAGTTCTGGGATATTTTTTTTAACTAACAGGTTCTGTAGCTTGAAAAACATGAAAATCCCTGCTCTTGCCTTACACACTTAAATATGGGAAATGACAGCCTTCAAAGTAGTTTTTCATCAATGGTTTTGGTTTCCAATGAAGCTGGAGAGAGTTATTTTTGTTCCACTTCTCTGTCTCTGGACACATAAAGTCAGTTACAAGATTAAAATAAGCAAAGCATTATGATAGGTGCCTACTTTGGCAGCATCCATCACTCTGGAAGAATGATCAGTTTTGGGTTATGTAGTCCACCCAGAGACTACCCGTTTGAATAGTGACAATTGTTACAGTCCAGCTGAGAGAAGAACTGAACACTGATTTAGACTGCAGCGAGAAATGCACTGAACATTCACAGATCTCAGCAACTGCATTCCCACAACCAATTAAGTTGATCTACTTGCTGGATTGGCACAATATTCTCAATAAGCTAACCAACTGGTCTGGGTTGCCACAACACCGAGCCATTTAAAAAAAAAAAATCTCACCAAGGTTTTGCACACTGCATAGACACAATTGTTAGGTCTTTAACTGATCTGGCCATACACACTTGGCCTCAGGGTCTTAAGAGATACCCACCTCTGTTTTAGAAATTAACTGCAGCTAGTCCACATTTAGTAACCACAATTGGGACCATCAACTCAGTCATTAAATGAAGTGGCCACTAAATGTGCTTATGATCTTACTTTGGCTTTCCTTTGCTTTACAGTCCTGCGAAGGTCATAAATGCGAGGATTGGTCACAAAGTGACTTTCTCATCATCATTGTAACTGGGAACAGTCGCTAGATGAGGAGTACCTGTACAAGGCAACCCCCAACTTGCAAGTTGACATTTAAGAAAAATCAACCCCTTTCCACCTTTCTGAGTGCTTCCTCTCCCACCTTCACTTACAAGGATACATCTCTTGGTTCCTCCAGGCAAGCATGTTCGAATAACTCGGGTCAGGAACTGAGCAGCAGACGGGCTGTTATGTCGACTCACCCGGGAAGGTAAAGCAGCTACTGTAGCATGGTTCAGGTAGAGGGGACAGCTGTCGGTGGGGTTGGGGTTCAAAGTATTTAATGCTGCTTGCCATATCTGAGAACAGAGGGAAAAAGATTAGGTCTTCTGCAGGCAACTGTTCTGCAAGCAGAAACTTCAGCTTAAGGGTATCCTCAGAATGTGGTCCAAAAAGTCAAGATGGCAGCCACAATGATGCAACTGACATTCTGCCCATTTTGTGTGTGTGTTGCACGTAAAATACCAACTATACATCTCTGCCCTGAAAAAGTAAGTGATGCTATGAACACCTTATCCCAGTGTCTGGAGGCTGTGAGGGTCTGGATGGGGAAGAACAGGCTTCACCTGAACCCTGGCAAGACTGAGTGGCTTTGGGTTCAGGGTCCTGCTGGTTCTGGGATTACATCATCTTTGGCACTGCCCTGGACAAACCCAGTGTGCAATTTGGTGGTCCTCCTACACTCGTGACTCCTGCTCAAAGAGCAGGTGACAGTCGTGGCTAGGAGGCCCTTCACACAACTTTGTGTTGTGCACCAATTGTGCCCTTTCCTGGATCGGGGAGGCTCTGCTCAGTCACTTATGCCCTAGTCAACTCCAGATTGGACTACTATAATGCGCTCTACATGGGACTGCCCTTGAAGAATATCCACAAGCTTCAACCGCAGGCACTTGGGTGTGCTCCTAGAAGAGCACACATTACACTTCTGCTTTGCAAATTGTATCGGCTGCCGGTTTGCTTCCAGGTCCAATTCTAGGTGCTGGTTTTGACCTTTAAAGCCCTTCATGGTATGGGGCCATGTTATCTGAGGGGCTGCCTCTCCCCAGTCACTTCAGCCTGTCCCATTAGATTTGGCAGGGAAGGGATGCTACGCAGGGACTTACATTTAGTGGGTCCCAGGAGGCGGGCCTTCTATGCTGTGGCTCCCTCCTTGTGGAATATTCTACCCCTGAAGTGAGGCTCGCCCCTTCCCTGCTGTTGTTAGGAAGCCCCTCAAGACCTGGTTGGGTCATCAGGCCTGGGGGTCTTTGGGAACTGGAGACATTCTTAGATGTCTCCACTGTAATTGATATTCTGCTCTCTCCGTGGGGTTTGCATATTTTAAAATCTATTTTTTTTAAAATGTGTGATAATGTTTTTATTCTAACAATAACTTTTTATCTTTTTATAATACTTATTTTTATTCACTTGTTATTTTATTTTAATTGTTGTACATCAGCCAGAGTCACTTTGTGTGAGATGGGCAGCTATATAAATGCTACGTATAAATAAATAAGTGAAAAACAGGCAGAACTTCAATTGCACCACTGTGGTCACCATCATGACTTTTTGGACCATACCCTGAGGATACCCTTGTTTGACCAGTACTGTTTTGGGATTCTTCCTTCTATCACACCTGAAGTTTTTCCTGCATGGGAAGGACTGATGCAAGCTGGCAGGGATAACAGAAGCATTCAAAACTCAAGGTGCTTTTTAAGTGTACATTTACAACAGGGTAAATGCACACAACCATTTACCAAGTGACAGCTTACTACTGTCATGGAAGATCATGTTACCATCTCTGTATGCAGAGTTAGAAATCATGGGATACTGGAAAGACTCAACAGCGTTTTTTCGCTAGGTGAACGGCTGCCAAGTGGGTGCCCTTGAACTCCCAGAATTCTTGGCAATGGCTCTGATGGCTGGTAAATTCTGGGAACTAAGTGCAACATCTGGAGGATAACCCAGATTGGGGAATTTCCTCAATAGCATAATGTAATTTGCCATGGCAAGTTAACTATTACCATTATGTTGTTATATGCCCCTCAGTGTAAAGCATGTGTGCAACCGACAGGCAATATTGCTCTCAGATCTAGGACACACACTTTCTTTCATGGCACTTTTCCTCTGGAAATTGTATCTCCTCCCCATGTTCAGATCGCTCTGACCCTGCAAGCCTTTAGGTGTCTTTTGAGAACTTTTCCCCAAATTCTGGGATAGGTTGGTGCTGTGGCAATTTGATGCGTAGCACTGGTTTTGATGGTGATATGTGATGTTCTTTCTGGATTTTTGTCGATATTTTAAAGGATTGCATTGGTTTTAATTGTATGTCACTCAGAGTTGGCTTTGAGTCGGGGTGGCCTTATCAAGCAAAA